TGCTGGTTTTGGTTCTTTTGTGTTTTGTTGTGAGACAGCAAGAGATTAATGCTGCTGTGGTGCAGCTTAGAACTGTTGCTGAAGGAAGACGGGAACTGCTAAGCAACATTAGCAATGTGGCAAAAAGGGCGGAAGACACAAAACTTTTAAATGTGAAGGGATGGCTTCTTGTCTCTGAAGAGGGGATACATGTATTTTTTAAACAGAAAAAACTATTGCAGAGCCAGTCCCAGCTGGAAAACAAGATTGCTGGTTTAAATGGCTATTGGTCAGACGTCACTGGGCAAATCCTGATCCTCTGGGTGAAGACGCTCATGCCCAAAGAACAGTAGAATCACCAGAGTTCTGCTTCATGGACAACTGAGGGGCAGACAATCAAACAGTTTCTCATGCTTTTAATGTCACTATTAATACCAAGCTCATGAGTTTTAAAAATCAGTTGATGTTGTGTGAGACAGGATACAACATTGCTCACGTTTCTACATTAGGTCTGCATTCTAAAAAGAAGTAAAAATGTGATTTGGTCAGTAAAATGGTCAGCTATGACTTGAAGACCCTTTGGAAGCAGATATATTGAGTAAGAAGGTGCCATTTTTAAATAGTTACCCACTATCTATAACTACACTTTAAACAAATGTTAGCTTCACAAATCTGAGAATATCACACACAATCCACAGTGAGTCTCAGGTTTTTGAAAGAAATGACATTTAAAAAAAATACTGGAAACCCCCTAGCTTGTTCTTCCAGATTTTTTTCTTTTGAAGTAAAGGGGCCCATGCAATTCTATCCTCTCTCTCTGATATGTCTGTCTGAATATTCATTTGAGCGAGAAAGTAATTTTAGCACCTATGACACACAATTTCTGTTGCCATCAGATTGCTCAACAGTACTAAAAATAAATATTTCTTTAAGCCTGAAGGCAGGAATTTGAATTCTGTTAGTCTCCCCTTCAGAAGCACCTGTGTGTGCTTTTAAATGTCTGACTAACACAGTTCAGCTTTATAGCCGTGATTCATTAAAGCAGATTCATTAGAGCCTGCAAGCACTTATACGTATGCTTACCTTTGAGCACGTCCATTCTCCCAGTGAAGTCAATGCGACTAATCATGTGCTTAAAGCTAAGCATGTGCTGAAGTGCTTTGCAGAATCGGGGCCTTATGAAAACCAGAGGGAAATGTTTCTTAATCCTATGTGCTGTCCATCATTAGAGATGGACACAGTTCTGAGATGATACATATTTGAACAGGCAGACTGGATTACATTTAAGGACTACAGCAAAAAACTTGTGTTTATCCAATAATTAAAAATATGAAAAATCTTTTAAAAATATGACTTCTCTTAAATGTTAATTTTCATCTGTCCATAAGGTCCAGTGAAAAGCTTCACCAATACTGATAATGGCAAAGGAATGACTGAGTTTGTTGAATTTATTTCAGATTAGATTTCCAGATTGTTTTTATTTATTTTTATTTGATATTTGTAAGATTATGTACAACCACCTGTGGAAATTTGACCCTCTTTCTATACACACCAATACTGTGTATTATCAGAATAATCAGCATTTATATGTACAGAATTATTATTGGCAGAGAGAAAAGATGGCCTGGTGATTGCTTGGGACTCCAGACACCTGGGTTCAGTTCCCCATTCTGCCACAAACTACTTGCGTGACTTTGGGCAAGTAACTTGGTCTCTCTGTACCCCTGTCCCCAAGCTGTAAAAAGGACTAATCACACATCCCTACCTCATGGGTGTTATGAGGATAAATCCATTAAAGACTGTGAGGTGGTCAGGTACTACACTGATAGGGCCCTATCAGTAAAGTAGGTAGATTCCCCCAGGCAAAAAAAGCTTATTACAGTTTGGCGCTCAGGTACAATCCTCCTGCAGACCCTTCCGTGAATAGCCCCATTGGCTACACTGGGATTGCTCACAAAAGGTACCCCTTTCAAATATAGATGTGCAATATCCAACCCATTTAAAAAAAAAAGGGTTCTAACCCCCAGTTTGACAGGGAAGACTTCTATACAAATTCTTCTGTCAGTTTGAAAGTATAGCTTCATCCTGCCTCACAACTAGAAGTTCTCCTTAGCTGGAAATACCAAGGACTAAGACAGTGGTTCTCAGACTTTTTGTACTGGTGACCCCTTTCACATAGCCTCTGAATGCGACCCCTCCTTATAAATTAAAAACACGTTTATGTATTTAACACCATTATAAATGCTGGAGGCAAAGCGGGGTTTGGGGTGGAGGCTGACAGCTCACAACCCCCCATGTATGAACCTTGTGACCCCCTGAGGGGTCCCGACCCCCAGTTTGAGAACTCCTGGATTAAGACTTCCCAAACACAATCTAAAATAAAAGCTCCTTTCCCCAGCTGCGCTCATTTAGCTTTTTATCTTCTCTTGCACCCCAAATGACATGCTCTACGGCATAATCTGATACGAGTCCCTTCTACCCTAGGACAAAGGTCACACTCACACCCCATTATGTGGCTAGGTTGCCATTTGATTTGAGATGCATGTAAGAAATTTGGCGTGATTTTACTGTTTACCTCACTGGAAGTGTAAATAAGAGAAGACGGTAGCAAGGCTTTTTAAATACTAGGACGCCACCATAGAACGGAGTGTTGATTGTCACAATGCGAGTATATAGACAGAAGAATTGCTGTGGTGAGAATATACTGGAAATGTAACAATAGCACCTGTGTTATGTATAGCTCCCCTGTTTTATAATAGGTAACTAAATAACCAGCTCTTAGTGCTGATTCCAACCATAAGAGGAACCACTGAAGAGTTATCTGTATAGGTTGCCTGTCCATTCATGCTGTTTAATTTTAAAAAATGATTCTCTACCCTTTGGCTCTATGTTCTAAAATAAATTTCCATATCCTTCCTTAAAATTAAAGACTGTCCTCGTTTAGCAGTTCAGTGATTTTAAGTCTCCCATCAAAAGAGGAACTTTCAAACTGGAGCAAACAAGGAAGAAAAGAACTTTTTGCACAAAAACCAAATGACTCGACCAATTGTATGCCATGTTCACAGATGGTTATGAATAAGAATTTATTCATTCACAGCCTTTATCTCTTGCACGATCCTGCAGTGAAGTCACAATTCTTAGTTGGTGATAGCTTGGCATTTTACCACATACAACCATTTTAACGTAATGTCAGAAATTCAATAGATTGCAAGAACATGTTAGAACATTGTCCACAAGATAGTGAACAGCACTGTCATTCAGCCACTGGGCTGGCCAGGGCTGTTTTACTACATTCATGGGACTACCTAACATCTTGCCAGGAATGTACACAGCCCTGAATGCTAATTATTCAGGGGGAAAGTATCATGGGGGTGCAATAGTAAGAACTATAATGATTATTATTCATTTATATTGCGGTAGGAGCTCTGATGATGGCCCAGAACCCATTTGTGCTAGGCGCTATACAAACAGAACAAAAAAGATTATTTCTGCCCCAAAGAGAATCTTACAATGTAAGTAAAACCTCAGAGACAACAGGAGACAGACAGGGGAGCACAAGGGAACAATGAGACAAAAGCACTATGTTTGCAGGACTGGACCCTTAATTTGCCTCAGGATTATTATTATTTATTAGTGGCATCAGACACTAATGGCATTCAGCCCCATACAAGCGTACCCAAAGACATCGTCTTTGACTTAAGGATCTTACAGTCCAATTCAGATGCAGCTCATACAGTTTAAAGCCACAGAAATAATGCACCAGAATATGGTTCAAACTCAAAACAAGTGGGTCATGTGGAAATAAGTGTCCTTTAATCAAGAGAAGGAGCTTATCTGGCACAAAAGGAAAGGAGGCAATTCCAAGCAACAAGACCCATAAGGTCAGATGGTGCAAGGTCCAAGTGAGAAAAGGATAGCAAAGCACTGGAGACTAGAAAGGAGGAAAGGGAACAAAAGGAGGGAACAAAAGGAGGAAACAAAAAGAGAGACGTGAGCAGGGGAATGGAAACTGATCTAAATTTCACTCTACAGTACCTGTGCACGTGGTGCTTTTATCACATGCTATATATTGAAAGAATTACATTGCCAGCAGCAGGAGTGCCAAGATGCTTTCCTAAAAGAAATATTCCACATAAACAATATCTCAGCAGCTACATCCAATTACAGTGAAGAATCAATCACTATAAATAAGGGTTTTGAAGTGTCTTAAACGTTATAAAAGCAATAATTAACAATGGGATGTCTGCTGTACTCGTAGGTGGCAAAAGCAGGAGTGAGTTCTGCAAGTCATTCTGTGCGCTAATAAAAACAAGATACCCACACTGCTGTGTACTCTCTCTATGCTTCTTATTTGACCTTTTTTTTTTATGGATGCTAGAATTTTTGCTTAATTTCGTTGTAATTAAGGCTCCTCTGAAGCCATGTTGCATATCCCAGTGGGAATCTGGGAACTTCTCCTTTTCACTGGTTTAAATCACTTGTTTCTGGCTCTCTGCCAGGTTGCCAAATGTTGAACTTTAAACCTGTCACTGATCCAGTATTAAATCTTGCTAGACCTGAGTCTTGGGCTGGATTCATTTTGGTGGAGAAAGAGGAAGTATTTCTGTTAGGTTGCTTTTTATTTGTTTATTTGTTTTTGTTTGTTAAAATAATGCTTATTTGAAGCTGTTCATGGGGTTCAAATGTTAGAATACAGTGCTGGGGGAGATGGGTTACTGGGTAAGAGAAGAGGTCAAAAATGCATGATAAATTGCACAATCATGTTATTTATTTCTCACATGGCTGTCAAGCTCTGCATGTGTAGATATTATCAAGTTTATATTACTTAATTTGTCTGCAAAGGACTTTTGATAATGAAACGTACAATGTCTGTGCTCCGTAATATTTACTATTTTGCAAAATGAAGTGTTGTAACTAATTAGTGGAGCTTTCCTTCCACTTATCAGAAGCATGAGTAGGATTTTCTAAAACTATTTCATGAATAACTCTCAAGGTATTGTTTCTATTGTTCTGTTTCCCAGTTATCACTACAAATCTCTCCCGCCTGTGAGGGTGAGCAACACTATGAGTATTCTGGACGGTGCTGCACAAAGTGTGAGCCAGGTAAGTATATTCTAGTGCTCTTATTTTTCAAAAATGAAAATCTTCTTTATGAACTTAGCGTTGGGTCACTAGTTCATTTTGCTTTTTTGAGTCCATGAGCAGGCCCTCTCAGAGGTCCAGAGAGGCCCAGGCCACTTCCAGCTTTTGAGGCCCCTAGCCATAATAAAAATAAAAAATGACGACACATGAAAACAAAATACGGCACCAAAAAAGGAGTGACATAATTTGAATTTTTTTTTTAAAACAAATGCTTTTCTGGTCCGATAGGGATGCTCATAAAAACAAGTTGCAAAGCTTATCAAATGCCAAAAAATTAACAAGTGTCTAAATTTGAGGCCCCCTTTGAGCTTGAGGCCCAGGCCAAATGGCCCTCCTGGCCACCCCTCTGATTAGCTCTGTCCATGAGTCTAATTGCACAACTCCTAGCAAAGCATTTAGGAATATGCATCATTGAAAGCACGGGCATAGTCCCCAGCCTATACCACTGACTTCAACAAAAGATGCACTAGATACCTGGTTTGTTTGAGATTTTTCAGTGCTGGAGACACACAGTGATATGACTCTCACTGATTTCAGTGAGACTATTCATGTGCTTAAAGTTGCTCAGGTGCTTAAATGCCTTGCTAAATTGAGGCCAGAGTGAGGAACTGGGATGACAATAGGCGAAAACCTTCCTAAATCCAGTGGCATCAGTCGAGTAACAGATGGGCTAAATTTGGTCTATTATCTTTAGAGAGCATCAGTGACTGATAAGTGACCGTGGTTTTTTTCCTCTTTGTTCAGGAAAGTACATGTCTGCCAAATGCACTGCCACCTCTGAGACTGTGTGCCAGCCTTGCGGCCCAAACGAATATATGGATGTCTGGAATGAAGAAGACAAATGTTTACTACATAAAATATGTGATGAGGGTGAGTTGTTCATACTGAGGCATTACGTACCTTTGAGTCCAAACTATTGAAGTATGAGGATGGGTGAGTGGATTTAGAACAGGAGTAATCAACAGGCAGACTGCGGGGCAAATCCCGACCGCCAGACGCTTTTGAACACACCCTGAAATGTTTTTATTTATTTTTATTATCATTGTTATTGTTTTTTTATTATTTTCTCTAGAGTCTGGACCTTGACTATACCTTGATCAAGAAATTTGGACCTCGACAAAAAATAATTGACTATCCCTGATCTAGAACTTATGTTTAGTTCACCAAAATAATAATTGAGAGAGGGATTTTCAAATGACCTTAAGAGCGTTTGGTGCCCAACTCCCAGTAAATTTCAATCCCCCCAGGCTCTTTTGGAAATCTCAGCCATAACCCTTATGCCACCACTAGTGAATCTTCAGTGAAGTGCACTAAGGTACTATGGGTGAGCACATAGAGATTCTTCTTCCCGCTCCCTCCCAGCATAAGGTGCACACATTTCTTGAGTCTATTTGTCTCCCCAGTGTAAAGGCTCAATTCAGCTCCAACTGAAGTCAATAAAAATTATGTCACTTTATGATTCTAAACAGTGAGGCGTCTCATACAAACCAACTGTCTACCATGCTCTACAAATATTAATGTGATGCCTAACAAGAATGATTCTGCATCTGACACGCAAGCAGTGTGGACATGTGGGGAGTGAGGCTGGCCATCCCAAATTATGTTGAAGGAGATATTTTTACTTCCATCTGCTTTGTCATTTAGGGAGAGGTTTAATAGAAGTGAATCCAGGAAATAGAACGTTCCAGCGACAATGTGCATGTACACTGGGATACCACTGTAACGAAGACTGTGATTACTGTCTGCGAAATACAGAATGTGCTCCAGGATTTGGCGTTCAGCATCCTGGTAAGATATGTAGAGTGGACAACTAGATGAATGGAGTCCCAGCCTTTAAAGAGAGGGTTGATTGGGATCTCAGGCCAATGTGAGTGGGAGAGGTGTGTTGTAGGTATAATAACTGATGTACAACCTTCACGATCTGTTTACATTTTGAAGGCTGCCTTTCATAGAGTTATAGATTCCAAGATCAGAAGGGACCATTGTGATCATCTCATGTGACCTCCTGCGTAACACAGGCCATAGAACTTCCCCAAAATAAGGAAGAGACTTGAGAATTTTTATTTTGCCTAAAATCTCTTAGTTGAGGTGGACCTTACAAGTTTTATCTTGAATTCTATAATTGTCATGGGAGACTTCACTGCGCACCGAATGCTAAGGAATTTGACTCTGATTAACTTGAAAAATTTAACTACAATATTCACAAAAGCATCCCCATGCATGTGCTCTCATTGTGATCTCAGTGTTCGGGTTAAGTTGAACTGAATGAACCATGCTAAATTCAATTTTATAGCATTAGGCGAAGGTAAAAATTATGAACACCTTTTGAAAATTAACAGAGTAGTAGTTTTGTATGTATTATAACTCAAGCAGTTTCATGGATTTACTTCAGATGTGACAAAAACAAATCACCTCTCACATCAGACTAGCTGTGAAATTTCAGGCTAAAAGGAGGTGGGTTGGTTGGTTTGTTCATTTGCTTTTCGGGAGTGGAAATCAGAAGGGGTCAAAATCAGGTTTATACTGGACATTGGTAAGAAAGGAGGCCATTCCAAGTGGCAGGAACAACATAAAAATGGTACGGGACTGACTGCTGGAGAAGTAAGTGCTACATCTGGACTCAACACAATGATTTCTTCTCCACAGTAGCTGGTATTGTGAACACCCACCATAATTATGGAGTCAAGTATCAAAGGGGTAGCCGTGTTAGTCTGGATCTGTAAAAGCAGCAAAGAGTCCTGTGGCACCTTATAGACTAACAGAGCATGACCTTTCGTGGATGAATACCCACTTCGTCATTATGGAGTCACCACTGTGGCTCTGTAGTAGTGGTGGTATAAGTTACTGACACTCTGAAACCTGTCATTAATTATAACTGCATTAACACAAGACTGGTAATTACAATGGAATTAGCGCCTAACAAAGTGTTTTTTCACCACAGCTATGCAAATCGCTCCTGTCATTTCTGTTTCTCGTTTTGACTCTGTAGAGACCTCATTTACCACTACTTTCTGCCCAGATTTAACTCCAGTTGCCTCCTTTAATATAATGGAAGATCTTCCTCGTGATGGAAGGATTTTCAGGGGGAAAAAATCTTATCAGCAAAATCTTCTCCAAGTCTGAGATGAAGTTGTTACAGTTGCTCAGCTATGCTGTTTGTTTCCTCTACCACAGTGCAACGAGACAAGGATACTGTGTGTGCACCATGCCGCTGGGGGTACTTCTCAGCCATCTATTCATCCACCGATGAGTGTAAATCCTGGACCAAGTAAGTGCACCTCTCCTAGAACATAACTGTGAGATAACCACTAAGCTGTAAGAGGCCTGGACAAATTGATTTTTCAGCTGAAGAATGGAACGTTCAATGGACTGTCAGTGAACTTCTCTCTTTGTAGCACACTGATCAGCAGCCATGCAGCATTGACAGAGTAGATTTAAATATGGGAATTCTCACATCAGAGATTGATCCTCAGCAGGGAAAAGCAAGGGAAGGGAATTGCAACAAAACTGTTGAGTTAGAGCGTTCTGTTCAGTTCATGCCCTCTTCCTGTCCTTGGTCACTTTTATACATTTCTCACCTTGGTCCTGATTCAGCTCTTTCTTCCCTCTTGTCTTTGCCACTTCCTTGTGCCTGTAATGGGTTTTTTGAGAACACTGTTTTCTGTCTGTCAGGGGGTTGTTTCATGGAGGAGGAGTTTTCTGTCCCTATTTTGCTTTCGCTTGTGCTCTCTTTCTTTCTCTTCTCTCTTGTTTCCTATTTCTGCTTTTCTCTCTCTTTGTCTCTTCTGTTCCTCATTTCTCCTCCTGTTTTCATCAGTTTTGGTCTAATAAGGACATGAACACACACAAGCCATGATAAGAAATGGATGTTCCTTTCCTGTCACCTGACATGAATCCAGGTTATGAAGACCAACCCTATCACATGGCAAGAGCAGTGTCCACTGACTCCAGTGACTACTGTTATACCTCCCGTGGGTCGTCTGGCCCTTCCTTCCTTCTCTGCAGCCTTGTGTCTGTTCTCTGTCTTTTTTCCCCACATTCATTGCTCTTTCTCTTCTTCAGATTTATCCTCTCATAAAGATGAAGCAGTTCAGCTGTACATAGCATCATCTGCTTTCCCAGTACCCTCTTCTGTGTGCCTGTGGGTTCGGTAGACATAAAGTAATTCAGTGGGTGGCACCTTGCTGGGATATGCTACACAATTAAGCAAAATATAATATAACCCAAGAGACTTGCTTTACCATAACGGGGACCAAACTAGTGAAGATGCTACGTGTTAAAATATAAATTAGAAATACAAATTTAAAACTATAGAGCAAATAGGGCTCTCGTAATGAGCACAATACGAAGTGAAAGCAGATAATGCCCTTTAGCTGGACATGTATGTGATCACACCATTACATAACACATACTGCATTACATACCAAAAAAAACCTACATTAAAAGAATTGTGTTTCGATTGCAAAGATGAGCACTCAAAAGATAGGAAATGACAGATTTGCATTTGTCTGTGCATCCTTAATTCTGTCCCCCTTGTTCATCTAACCCGTGCACTGAGTGAGGCCTGGATCCTGTGGAAAATATAGTATGTGATCATGCAATTAAAGAGAGTATCATAATTCATATGCACCGGGGGCTGAATTAAGGCTCCACAGACAAATGTAAATCTGGCATTTCCTACCTTTTGAGTGTTTGACTTTGCAACCTAAGTAAGGCTCTTGTAATCTAATTTTTAAATATGTAATTTCCTGATTTTTAAAAAAGAAAAATAACTAATTCTGCTATGTACAACCTTAACAATCCCTCATAGCATGTGATCAACAGCCTTTGAACCTTGAACCTTCAACACTGACTGCTGCTACTTGAGTTACAGGGCTAACTATATTAGCGAGCAGCAGGAGAAGGCTTTTCTCACAGAGGGGGGAATGGGTCACTGACACTCAGGGCCGCAAAGAGTATTCAGGGGGCCTGGGACAAAGCAATTTCAGGGGCCCCTTCCATAAAAAAAAATTGCAATACTATAGAATACTATATTCTCGTGGGGGGCCCCTGTGGAGCCCGGGGCCTGGGGCAAATTGCCCCACTTACCTGCTCCACCCTTCCCCCGGCAGCCCTGCTGACACTGGTCAGGGAAAGCCTGGCCTAGCCTCACTCTCTCGCTCTCGCTCTCCCCCTATCCCCTGGAAGTAGGGGGCTGGGACCATGTGCTGGGAGGAACCTGGCCCCAGTTCTCCTCCTCCCACTCCTGGCCCTGGATACTGAGAAGGGAGTTTGGGGATACTGGAGCCATGCACCAAGTCCAGTGGGTGGAGTCAAAAGTGGTGAGCCTACGTTGGCTTTCACCCCTTCCCATCACTATAGCTGCTCCAGCAGCTCCCACATGTTCCCAGTGCAGAGTTATCTGCTGCTATTGCAGCTGCTTTAGTGAGGCCGGGGCCTGGCACTTTAGAATGTTCCTTTTAGTTTGGCAAGCTGACACCATTTTCCTGAGGAACACAGCAGAGAAAAAGTGGCTGTTAACAGTTTATAAATCCACAAAGCCTCAATAGAATTTTATAGGACAAAGAAAATCTTTATGTTGAGGGCTTTCTGCCTGCCAGATTTCAAAGGAAGACAATGGAGGTGTTAGAGATTATTAAAAATTAAAGGCTCTGAGAATCTCTTATAATGCAAAGTGTTAGGCAACCTAAATGGAGGTGTCATTGCCAGTTCTCTACATGATCATCCAGCATTTTTTTTTCTTTATTTTTGTAGCTGCACAGCTCTGGGAACTGCAGAAGGAGTTCCTGGGACTGATCGGGCAGATGTAGTTTGTGTGGAACCTACGATGTCTGTACAACCACAAGATGGTATATTTCATCATACGTAATTATCCATCAGAAAGTATAGGGTAGGATTTTCAAAAGGGCTCAGTGCTGGCATAATTCTGTTCCCACTGAAGCTGGCTTTAAAGGAAGCCGTTGGGCCAATTCTGAGCCTTTTTGAAAATCCCCCTCAAAATATTTTGGTATTAAAGATTATTTTATGCCATTCTGAATTAGGGTGACCAGATGTCCCAATTTTATAGGGACAGTCCCGATATTTGGAGCTTTTTCTTATATAGGTGCCTATTGCCCCCCACCCCGTCCCGATTTTTCACACTTTCTATCTGGTCACCCTATTCTGAATTGCAGCTCCTTGTGAAAAATCACACTACAGTCTATGTTCAGTACTGTATACAGCTTTATACTTTTGATTGAAATTACATACCAGATGAGATTGTTATTATAATACCCATTAACTACCATTACAGTTGCAGTTCTGGCTTTTTTGCATTCCTCTAATGTTTAACTATTTAAAAACAAAACCTATGACTTCTGTCTGTGTACTGTTGATAGCGATGGATACTGTGTCAGTCAAAGGCAGCCCTTGATGTCTGATAATGAGGCCCATTGCCTTTTTTATCTTTAATGTGGATGTGCTGCCCCAGCGAGACTGCATGTTTCAGCATGCAGTGAGCAGTCGTGATATGAGGCTTGCACGCTGGGGCCTGTGTAACTCATAGAAACTACCTTCAGAGCCTTTTCAGGCAAATCAAGTGTAGCTCTTGGGCTCCTGGCAGCTTACACTTGAACCCTTCAACTGAGCAAAATTTGGGCATGCCTATATTGGGCTGTCTTCAGAGTTTAAATCTGTAGCTCTTTTTAAGATAGCATTGTAAAGCATGGGCTTGATCAGTCTCCTTGTTACGCAACAAAATGTGTTATAAAGCTATCGGGGTTATTTTAGAAATCTAAGTTCAAATAGAAAAATCTTACTGCATCCAAGTAAGAAAACTAAGCAAGGATTGTATCATTGCTAAGTATAAGCTGCACACTGATGTGATATTTTTTTTCATCCTACAGAAACAAACAAGATCTTGTATGTTCTGAGTGTTCCAGTCCTCTTTGTGATATTAACCAGTATTATCATACTTATCATATATTACAAAAATAAGGGGAAAGCACTGACAGGTACGTTATGGCTAATGATTTTTAGGAATTCAATTTAATGTGAAATCTGTATTTTTTTAAACTGTGTGATTTGACTTTAGTGGGAATCATCAGGTTAAAAACGCATGCATTGTTTGGAAAATTATATGCTCTACAGTTTATGTATTTTAGCTGGCACAAAGCAGGACTTTGGATTCCCTTTCTCTAGGCCAGAAACGTATTAGGCTTATCGCTCTGGTACCCTGTCAAATCAGCTATTGTGCAGTAACTGGTTTGTCAAAATTAGATCTTAGCTAATGTACAGTCCAATGGAGTGCTGTTTATGCATGCAAGGCATGTATTGTGCGGCCTGCATGCCTGACAGCTGTGCTGTAGCCAACTGGCGGCCTGTGGACTATTCTGTCCAGACCCTATGGAGGATTCCATTTTGTAATCTTGGTGTCTTCTGCACAGTGTGACCTCACACACACCATACATGCGAGGTCACACTGAATGGAGGATGCAATTTTGGACTGCCTTATTAAAACTGTCACGGCATGCCACTAGTACAATCACATATCTGAGAACGTGACCAAGCTTGTTGTTTGGACTAGGGACTTGATACAGTATTACTGTAATAGTGGAGAAATGTGATTTTCATGTATTGTCAATGGCATTAAATATTATTAACATGGGGGAAATGCTGCAGCGATTGCTGCATGAATGTCGATGCATCTGCAGAAACTCATTTTAACCTCTATGCATTAGTTGATTTAAGCAAACTGTTATTACTCCTTTTGCATTTACTTCCTCCTCCTGGAAATCTTTTTCTCATCTGTCCTTTTCCCCCTTTCATTTCCTCAGCCCCACCTGCCTGGGTATTTTGTGCCATTCTTCTCCTGCATTGTTTAAATAAACTTTTAAATAGTGTTTTATAAGTTAGCTACCACGTCCACACTAAATGCCTGTCACCCTAAATCAGGAATCCTTTGGATGGGCTGGAGATAATGGTGACCCTCATAGTAAACCAAACATTTTAGATTCAGCACAGGTTATAGTGGAATCCTCTTAATCCGGATTTCCATCACTCTACAGCCCGCTCCAGTAAGTGGCCTTTCATGCCCTTTAAGAGAAATTCCAGACTGACAGATGATACCACTTAAATAGCAACACTGCTGTCTGGGCTCTGCAGAGCCCAATCAAGTTAGTGCCTTCTCCCAGTTTCTGCAGGCCAGTATCTACAGTGGAGTGGATAGTAGGTGTGTGTACTTGGCATGAATGGAACAAACTAATAGCCAAGACCAGGCAGTGGCTACATACTTGATATGTGTTCCACTTGTTCTACAAACACAGAGAACCAGCATAATATAAAAAGCACACAAGGCCCAGCACGACAAAATCCCCATAAACTATAATTACTGTCCTTGTGAAGCAGCAGTCGCTGTTATAAAGCCTCATTGGGTTTAAACCTTTTCCTTCAGAGATGTTTTAATTTAGTACATTTCCCAATTAAACACATTCCAATTAAGCGGAACAGACTGTATTAAAAACTGCCATCCTGTGGTGGTTTCGGGGTGTGTGTGCAGGGGGTGGGGTTTCCCGCTTTGGTCTCCTCATTGCTATTTGGGCATTCATGTGACACCTCTTGAAATAGACTAACCAATTGTATGGTTGCAACTGGGTCGATCTGAGGCCAGTCATAGCTTGTTGACATGTGACCAGGAATAAAGCCCCATTTGATGTGGAACATAGTTTAACCACATTCTATTTTAGGACCTTATAGACATTTGTTCCATAAGGATGTATCCAATTCAAGTTATAATGAATGCTCAGCTAGACAGTCGCTTGGTCTTTTGAGCAGAGTCAATAAAAACAATCTGGACAGTTAGGTTTCATTTAATGTAGGGGATTATGGATAACTGTATATTATTTGATCTGTGATTGACTTAAGAAAGCCTGCTAAACACTATTTTGTTTCCCCTACAGCAGATCTACAGCAGTGGGCTAATGAAGTATGCAGCCAAATAAAAGGGACGAAGGTAAACTCTAATGTTCTAAATTTTTCACTGTGGTTATGCTTTGCTAATTCCTTTCCTGACCCTCATGGCAGCCTCGACACATAGTACAGATAAATGAGGCCATAGATTTCTCTCCCACCATTCAGTAACTATTGTACCACCCAAGGAAAGACACTAGTAGGTGATCTGGTAGTTACAACAAAGGACAGAGAACTGATAGCATTCTGGCTTTAATTCCTGTAGACAATGAGCCAAGTTTTGCTCTAAGTTACACGAGTGTCACTCCTATGAGTCAAGTATCAAAGGGGTAGCCGTGTTAGTCATGCTCCTATACGTCTGTTAGTCTATAAGGTGCCACAGGACTCTTTGCTACTCCTATGAGTATGACACTCAAGGTAAACTGACAGCAGAATTGGGCCCATTGACTCATTGTGTGACCATGGGCATACCATTTGAATTCTTTCCTCCCACTCTACATAGCTAGAAGATAAGGACTTCTCTTTGCAGTCTACAGAAATAGCTATTCTTTTCTGAACACTAGGGATGATTTGCCTTATATTCCTTTTTATTTTAAGCCCTTGGTGTCAGTTAATTATGTTAATTGTTCTAGTGTACTAGGGCTTTTTAATCATTGGGTAATCCCAGGAAAATTCCTGTAAATGCCATTTTTATGCTCATCGTAGAAAGTAGCCAAATGAAGAAATGGAGGGAATTTGTGGGCAGGGTCACTGAACATATAAGGCCTGAGTCTTCTCTCACTTCAGTCTAAATCAGGAGTCTAAAACAGCCATTCATATCAGAGGAATTGAAGGTGTGTAAAACTGGTGTAAGTAAGAGAATAATCAGCTCTTCCTTTATAAAAATGAGGGAGAGTATTTAAGGTCAAATCCTCTGCTGAGGTAAATGGTCACTGCTACATTGACTTCAGTGGAGTTTCACACAAAGAAGAGAATTTGACCCTTAGAATTTAGAGGATTTCAAATCTAGTATAGGTTAGATCTGGGCATCAAACTTTAAAGAATAGCCCATTATTAAGAGGAAAACCTCTTGTGCTTTAAATTGTAGCTTTTCTCTGAAAAGTGACTGTAAAAATGGCACCATGGATTCCGCATTTATTGTCTCAACAATTTCCAGGTCATATGTGCTCCATTCACAAGTAAATGTTTTTTGAACTCTCTGCCTTGCAAGCTCACCCTGAGTTCTGAAAGCCAACCTGGATTCTTCATGCATCACCACCATTAATAAAGGTTCTGCCCAGGGCCGCCCAGAGGATTCAGGGGGCCTAGGGTCTTCGGCGGCGGGGTCCCCCACTGCTGAATTGCCACCGAAGACCCGGCGCTTCAGCGGCGGGTCCCGGGGCGGAAGGACCCCCCGCCGCCGAATTGCTGCCGAAGACCTGGAGCGGAAGAAGCGCCGAAGGCCCGAGCCCCACAAGAGTTTTCCAGGGCCCCCGGAGCGAGTGAAGGACCCCGCTCCAGAGGCCCCAAAAAAACTCTCGTGGGGGCTCCTGCAGGGCCCGGGGCAAATTGCCCCACTTCCCCCCCCCCCCTGGGCGGCCCTGGTTCTGCCCTCAGTGTCACCTGTGCAAACCTCATTGCCTTCAATGGGCTTGCTCAGGTGTAACTGATTGGACCTTAGTAACAATTCTGTCAATGAGACAGAAGGAAGAATAAAATCTAACTCACTCTTTCTTAGCTGTTTTGGCTCTTTAGAGCCAACAGGAGCAATAACCAGTTAAAAATTTATTTTTGTCACTCGTGGGAACAATTTGACTGTGAATACACACAAGGAGCAGACCTGTCCAGTAAGATCCTTGTCACATATCCAAGCAGAATTAAATTTTATGGGTCAAAAATGAAGGTGGTGCTGCTCTAAGTCATCAACTGCAACTCAAGAATATTAAGTTCTCTAAATATCATTTCTGCTGTGCTAAGAAAAATAATATTCTGATGACCTGTTTATTAAACATCTTTTTCTTTTGGATTTTGTTTAGGAATCCCCCCAAGAGCCATTTGTTAATATAAACATGGTGAACGCTACAAGTCCTCAGCCTTCTGAAGGAATATATTTGCTAGCCCTTGATGACTATATTTTTTCTGAAGACCTGGGTTGCCCAAATGGGCACACTCTCTATGGGAAAGGCAGCCCAGATACAATCCACTATGACTTGGGAGAGAACATCCCAACATTGTCTTTAGCAACAGAGTCTGAGGATGACCACTTCAGGCAGATTCCCATGGAAGATGAATATGTAGATAGAGCTCCCCATGCCCATGGTTATTTACCTTTATTGAGTCAGCCTGACAGTAAATCTGTGTCACCATTTTCAGAGCCACTGGAGGTAGGGGAGAATGATAGCTTAAGTCAGTGCTTCACAGGAACTGAGAGCATGGTGGATTTAACAGGCTGCTATAGCTCTGATCCTTCACGCGGCATGGACTGCATCCATGTCTCCTCAGACAAATACCTACAGAAATCTTGCCATTGCACCTGTAGTCATATGAAGGAGACAGAGAGAAAGGACACAGATCACTTCCCAGTGAACCCTGAGTCAGTGAACAACTGCATGGGCTGTGGGGTTTCATCTAGGGAATCTCCTAGGAAGTGGAGCGAACCCTTTTGTGCAGCAGTTGACTATACCACAGCCTCACCGGAAAATGGACTTTATCCACAGTGCACCTGTGGCTTGGACTTTCCCTCTGCAGGTCAGAGTACTTTAGCAAGCAATCCTGGCATGGAAGATACTCCCTCTGAAGGTACTGACACAAAGTACCAGAAAACAAACGGAAGCACTTCTGGGGCAAATTGTAGCACTTCAGAACAAGCATCGGGTAAGCAACCCCTCCAGCAGGCTCGCTCTACATACTATCATATAGGATTATCCTTCATACTTTCCCCATATTCTTTTACTTTGAATCTCAGTGCAGGATATGGTTTGGGGGAAGGAGTGATTAATAAAATGAAGCTTTTTTATTATTATTATTTATTTGCCTTGCAGTTACTTTCAATGACCAGGATGAAAAAGCCAGGACATTTGTTTTCTATTGGACTCTGGAAATGGTCTAGACCCAATGAGGTTTCATGCTGGTGCCAGTGGTTATTCTCCACCCAGCAAGGAAACCTCCATCCTCTGGCTCCCGCTACAGAGCCCAGACAGTTTATGCTGTTGTCTAAATATTTTGATAGTGGAACAAAGTGGATTCATTGCACTTTCGTCTCCCATCATGAAGTTCTCAGTTAAACACCAATCAAAAGCATGAAATTTGCAGTTAAACACCATTATAACTGACAAGTAAAAACAGGCCCAATTTTCTGTTTGTTTAACTCTTGCTCTTTATTATTTTTAACACAGCAAAATGAATTTTAAAATAATTGGATGCACACTGTTGTTCTGCCCACACACTCACTTCTGTCTTCTTAATAATTCTGGAACCCATTTATTTAGTTTATTCTTAAATAGCCAAATGACAAACAGGGGGGAAAAAATTGAATAGAATGACTTAGGGGCTAACACCTGTCCCCCAGTAGTGACCCTTTCTGAACTGATTCCTTAAGAGCCACTACACCAGGGGTTGGCAGCGTTCGGCACGCGGCTCGCCAGGGTAAGCACCCTGGCAAGCCGCGTGCCGAACATTGCCGACCCCTGCACTACACTCTCCGCCTCAAAATTCTCTTCAGTACCCACATCTAGGGTGAACAGATAATAAGTATAAAAAATCGGGATGGGGGTGGGGGAGTGATAGGCACTTATATAATACAAAGACCCAAATATTGGGACTGTCCCTATAAAATCAGGACATCTGGTCACCCTATCCACATCTGCTACAATGATATAAGAAATCATCTATTTATGATGGCTCTAGGAACAGATGATGTTCAGTTGTTCCATTTAAATTATTTTTAAGGGGGGGAAGTATATAGAGAAACTATATATTTATATGTCTGTCTTCCCACCTTTTATGTGTCACTAGTAGTTTTAGACTGTAATCTCTTCAGGGCAGCAACCCTGTCTTTATATATGCTTTTATGATGTCTAGCAGAATGGGACCTTGGTCTTGATGAAGGCCTCTGGGTACTATGGTTATACAAATATTAATAATAGGCAATCACCCTTCTATAAATGCATATTATACCTTAGAGTAGTGTCCTGGGGCATTCATGTCAACCTGCCAAGGCCCAAATGTGGTCTGTAATGTGTCAGAGGCCCCCACAAAAAAATGTTATCCACATGGGAGACTTAAAATACTACAGGATTCATTCCTCTGTTAGAAATGACTCATTCTGTTATACATGATTTGTGTGGAACGTAGGTACCTTTGGGGCTAAAATGAGGGACATCTGAGGTATGCCTAGAGGTCAAGTCCTTTTTGACACTAGCAGAATGTCACTCCTCTCTTTAAATCCGACAGTAGAATGAAGAGAGAGTTATTATGGAGCAGAGGGGCAGGGGAGATTAGGGATTGGGGAGCAGAGAGAAAGGGGAGTTTGGACTCACACGTGAATGGAAGTGTGTCTAATCTGGTCTGCTATTTAATTCTCTTGGTGTAGTTTTAATTGTATAGGCACCACTGCATGCCTTCACGTACTATAGTGCTACCTGGTGAAACCTGAGCATGCATACTGTGTTATTTATTTACAAGCAACATATGACTGCTGTGAGGGCCTTTTAGCCAATTCTAAAATAGTAATTTTTAATTAATCAAACTCAAAATGCACAGTTCATGTGTTCTTTTTCTGCTTATGGAATGGGAATGTTCTGAGGGAAATATCGATGTGTACATGTGAACTGGAATAGGGCTTAGTAAATGATTCCATTCTGAGTCATGCTTAAGAACTAGCTGTGGGTTTATAAGAAGCATTAATGAAATCCTCTGTGAAGTTCTAGGTCAGAAAAAGACACACAACATACATTTTGTAACTGTCTCAATATGGATTGACATAGTACTGGAACTATGTAGGTGAGTGAACAGGGGCAGTACCACCTCTTCCTAGTGGTGGGGCTGAGGTGAGGTAGACAGAAAATTGCGGGGGTGCACACACTTATTTTTTTAACAATACGTACCTAAATATGTATATTGTCTGTTATCCTCAAAAGGAGAATAAAAATATATATACAGACAGATCAGTTTTAAACTACATCTCTGGCAGCTCACTGGTGCAACATTTATTCACAGAAAATCAATAGGAGAAAAACTAAGCCAATAAATAAATAAGCTAATAATACTAATAATATTAACAATAAACATGCAAACTTCTGAGAAAAATTACTGGTTAAATAATACTAATAGCTAATTACTTTAAATCGGAGAATATACTGTATTATATTTTTAAATTAGCCATTTGCACATGCAAAAAAACTAAAACAACAACACACACACACTATTATTTAAAACAAAATAAATAACAACCAACAAAAACTAAGTACACCTTTTTTCCTTAGCCAATTGAGCCCATATTTCCATTCCAGCCAAATCAAAACCCAATCAAATACAATCAGAAAATTCAAACCATTTTAAAGCTGTTTTTTGGAGGGGAGTTCACTCTTGCTTTAACTGTTGTGCGCCCACCTAATTCACAGTCTTTGTAAAAGTAACAAAAGCAATTCGGTCTTAACTAAATGAACTGCCAATTAATACAAAAATAGCACAAAAAAATAAAGCACTACCAATAAAGCACAAAAACAGCATTTGACAGGCAGCAAAAATCAAGATGTAATTTCTTAAACATACATTGTGGGGCAAGTGTTTCTCAAGGTTTCCACTAAACCAATGAAAAACTGACATACGTTATGAAACAAAAAATGCATGTATGAAGATGAGCTACTACTTACCGCAGAGAAGAAGTTTCACTTAAGGACAATCCGTCCATTGTTGTGATTTGCAGCAAAGGAATTGGTGGCATCGTCAGGGGAGGCCTTAGGGGTGGGCGACTGTCCAGAGCACCATAGTCAGTGCCTTGGTCGGGGGGGCTCCATGGTCAATGCCACCCCACATGCACATAGTCAGTCCAAGGCTCCTTTAACCTCTAAGAGCTGGGCCCGGAACTGGAAGAGGCACAGCTGGGGGCACTCCAGCTGCTAGTCCTGTATGGGCTGGGGCTTCCTCTTCCCCTACAAGGGCCACTCCTGAGGCCGGGTCAGACCAACTTCTGGGAACCTCCCGTGGCTGCAGGAAACTTTACAACCCCGCACTTTCCTGCCGCCATTGCTCCCCAGCCATGGTGGGAGGTGTCACTGTATGGGGAGCTGCCCCCCGATTTGCCTGGTGCCATTTTCCCTCAGGCCAGCCCTGGACATCATCAGCATTCAGAGCGGGGTGGCTGGCAGCAGCAGCAGCTGCTGGCTGGGTGCCCAGCTCTGAAGGCAGTGCCGCTGCCAGTAACAGCGCAGAACTGCATAAGTAAGGGTGGCATGGTATGGCATTGCCATCCTTACTTCTGCGCTATTGCTGGCAGCGGTGCTGCCTTCAGAGCTGGGCCACCGACCAGCAGCCGCAGCTCTCTGGCTGCCCAGCTCTGAAGGCAGTGGAGAAGTAAGGGTGGTAATACCACACCATGCCACCCTTACTTATCATAACATTAGACCATTGCGCTGGGAGGAGTAGCTATGAGTAGGGGGCTAAGGCAAATTTTGGGGTGGACATAGGTCCAATAACCACCCCCGCACCAGCACTGCCACTGTTTGAGAATTTGTGGCATGTCAGCTTTGTGAAATAGAACTGGCTTCAAAATGGGGGGAAATTGCCACAAAAATTCCAAGGAAATATTTGTCTTTTTTACTAATCAGTATTCAAAATTTAAATGAAAAATGTTGAACTGCCCTATCATGAAAGACTTTTGGCATGTAAATATAAATCTGCAAACCAAAGTGTTCAGTTACATGGGTCTGAGCCTTCAGGTGCCAATTCATAATGTTCCAAATTTTGGAGGAGTTGAAACCTGTAGTGTGTGTTCATGCCCATCTCTAGTATTGACTATAAATAGAACTTTTAGAAGCCCTTTGTGAACCTAGGACACAGAATTTGAGGGGACCACCTGAGTCATCGAGTCCAGTCCCCTGCTATCACAGGCAAGCCTCCTTCTGGAGGATTAAGGGTTGAATGCTACAAAGGAGTTAAGCTCCTAACTTCTATTGAAGTCAATGAAAGTTAGGGACCTAACTTCTTCAGAACATTCACCCCTGAGTGAATCAAGAATTAGGAATGGGATACAGAGTCTTTTTCATCTAAGTTCAAATCCTGTCCAAGTCAGTAGCAACCAACAGTCATTACCACATGAAAGCTGCTTGGTGGCATGTGCAAAGTGAGTTTGTGGCCACCTTCCAGTTCTCAGTAGGTAATTGTAACAAAAAAAACCCAACAACCTTATAATCCTACAATACCAAGCAACTGGCAGTCTTGGTAGAGAAACCAAAGGACTGAATGCTTGTGGAGAGTATCCCTATAGGTCTGGGTTTTATATATATTTGGTAGGGCAAAGTGGACAGCTTTCATTAACACTCTCTGGGGAAAGAGGATTTCAGTATTCACCTCTTCTATCAACCTGGCACCTTTAATAAGCAGTTAAGAATCCCATATCACATTCAGCAAAGCATTAATTGACTTCTATTTAACTTTCATGTAGTTTATCTAAAATTGCTGTTCTACAAATAAACACTGGTGAATGTTCATGCAGTGTTTTGGATGTAGCAAGCACTATGGAAATGCTAAGGGTTATTACTCTAACCAAAAATCCAGCATTTGTGACATCAGCATCATGTTGATGGCAGGGAATTGTGACACCTGGATTGGGCCTTCACCAAAGAAACAGCTTGGGCAGGAAATAAGGCAGTGCCTAAAAGAGAGAACTTTTAGTCGTATATCATGGTAATCAACGATAATTGGAAAGAAAATACAGAAATAGTGTGGTGGTTTTTAGTTAAAGTAAATAATATTGCTAAAGTGAGCCTTTTTAAAAAAGAAGTCCAAGTGCCACCAAACTGTGTTATAGATGTACTCATGTATGAATTTATTATCATTTACTGGAATTCAGTTATGGCATGCAAACATCACTGTTTACTGACAACACCAGGTTGTTCTGGGGTAGGCCATGCCTTATAAAGGGTGATTGTAAGTGGGTTCCTCTTTAAAATTAATGAATAACTGCAGTGACAGGGTTATAAAAAATGCTGATTTTAAAGTATTAAAACATGCCAATAAAACATCACAAATTTCTAAACATCTCTAGGACCTGTCCATAAAAACTGATTAAGTAATCTGTAGTAGGAAGAATACCTCTTAGGGAAAGAGAGAGAGAGAGAAAGTGTGTGCACTAATAATACTCAGCTAAAGCTGTTTTTATTGTTTTATTTGTTTGAACTGAGGGAAAGTTAATTCTTCTCAGCATTTCCCATAATTCTTGTATGAATTTTGAAATTTCAGGGCTTCATCCTGCTCTTATTTAAATTAATGGCAAAATGCCATTGTCTTCAGTGACACCATGATCGGGCTTGTAGTATAAACTCACCTATGCCTGCCATGCACACCTCATGGCCAAACCTTTTAAAAGAGGTTTCTATTATCATTCTAGTAGAATTTGGTGACACAGGCCATGATCCCGCAATGTGCTCAACATGGGTGGATCCCTGTGTCCATGCAGAGCCCCATTAAAGTCACTGAGCATATAGCCGGATCTGGGTCATAGAGTATAATCTCATGTGCTCCTAGGATTGCCCCATCCATACGCTCTACACTAACAGACCTTCTAGAGTCCAATATCCAGGGCTGTATGGATGGCAATAACCTTTTTAAGTCTTTCAAATTTTATTTAATTAAATTTATTGCATAGTCTACATAATAATTTCAATCATTTGAAAATCACTATAGTGATTGGTAATCTATAAATATCTAAAGCATAGCTATATATTCAAAGGGACAGACAATGAGCATTTTACACATAGATTATGGGTGGAGCATTTTCCAGCATAATCTGGGTTTGTGTACGTGAGAGCAAATTCAGGAGGGTTTGCTGCAGGTAGCTGGAGGAGGAGAGTATATAGCAAAAGATCTCTCTCTTGCCTCCAGGTGATGAGTTTGAAAGGGAGAAATTTTCCTACCATCCCAGCTAGACACACTTGGATGACAGGTTTGGTGCTGGGAGGGAAAATAACAGGAATCAAATTCACTCAGCTAAATATTCATCTCATGAGACAAAATTCTAACAGAAAATATTAATCACGCATATATGCTTTTTTCCCCCCCTCCCTTTCCCTAGGAAATGTGACTGGAAACAGTAACTCGACATTTATATCAAGTGGACAAGTAATGAATTTTAAGGGCGATATAATTGTTGTCTATGTTAGTCAAAACTCCCAAGAGGGGACAGCCGCTACTGGAACAGCTGATGAGAATGTGGGGAGTCCAGTGCAAGAGGAAAACCTGAACCGATGCGAGACTTTTGCAGGCAACACCCAACAATACAAAGAAAAATATGCTGATGCTAATCCAGCCTGCGCTGCAGAGAACGAAGGACTAAATAGCACGGGGGAATATGAGAGAAGGCTGGGGCCTGTGGTTCAAGAAGAAAACCAAGACAGTCAGGATAGGAAGTGCTGCCACAGTGGGGCCTTTCAACCTGTGCAAGAGGAAGGAAAGCCAGGACAATTTTCAGAGAAAGCATTGCATTGATGGGAATCAACAGCTGTTTGCTCACTCTTAGTATTTGACTGAAACACCATTAATACTGAGGGACTGTATAACAGCCAGTGAATGATATTAATGGTATGCACAGTTGTGTTAGCTGCTCAGAGGCCAGGTTGCCATGACTGGTTCATTAGATCTGAGACCTTTATTATTCCTGGTGTCTCTTGGGGACTTCATCAAATGGAACCGACAATTCCATGGTAAATGCCTGTGATGCTATCACTGTGGAAATTATTAGTGAAGACAGACATAAGTGTAAAGCTGCTATCATTGCAGAAATATCTGATGGGAAGGAAATCTACTTCCCCACAATTGTACAGGTTGTTCAAGACTTGCTGTCCATTCCCTTATCCTTGGGACATAAAGTGGAAGACTTTAATTAATTTAGATTGTAAACTCTTTGGGACGGGGATTGTGTGTGTGTGTGTGTGTGTGTGTGTGTACACAACACCTAACATATTGTGAATGCTACTAGAGTACAAATACTAATTATGATTAATATTCAGAAGGTAAACCATAAGTATTGACCAATATTTTTCCCTAATGACATTTGGACAAGAATTTGGGAAAAGATTAAGTCAAGCCCTTGTGCACGGCCTTTCTCTTTCCCTATTCCCTTGCATTTGCCATGAGAACCTTCCATCTAGATTTAATTCTGCCTTATTAACCTGAGTATCACTGTGCAATGATCCTATTGGCCTCATGTGAAGATGAACCATGCACTTCCATGATCCACATGATCAGAGATCTAATTAGAATGAGAATCACCCGTCCACTGGGAGGAGCATCTTTTACTTGAAGATTTCTTGTTAGGAAGGATCTTCTGAAAAGCTCTAAAGCCACCGGGCCTTCTGTATAGCTGCTCCAGTTTGCAATAACATTTCTGTAGGTGAAGACCACCTAAAATCCTGTGAGCAGGCAGTTTATTGAATCATCATTAGATGCCCATTTATAGATAAAAAGAAAGGAGATAGTCCCCTTGCATATTGCTTGCACAAATGGAGATTACACATTTTGCAGTCCTCTTTAAAAATAAACAAACAAAAAACCACCTAGGTGGGAGAATTCCAGTTTAGAGATCTGGGTTGGCTGAATTCTGCTGAGAAGGAGAATTCCTCCACTCATTCCTTGGTAAATTAGCTACTTAGAGAGAAGGGAAAAGACAGTGGTTCAAGAAGGGATGTGTGTGTTTCAAGCCTCAGTTACCCCTCTTTCCATTGTTTGTGTGTGCCGCAATGGAAGGGAGAGAGCTAGAAAGAGGGCGGTGAAATCATGGCTCTATTCATGTCATTTACCATTGACTTCAGTGGCACCATGATTTCACCAGAAGAATTCAACAATCTCTTTGAATAAAGTGTGAAAGAGCTTCAAACATCAGTATGAAAAATGGGTGTGTCAGCCTGGGTGCTGTTATGACTCCATGATGGGAAATTTAACATGCCAGAAGGTACAATGCTTTTCCCTGTTCCAGACTGAACCCAAACTGAAATATCCATTCCACGATTACCAACTTTCTGCTGTGTTGCTTGGGTTCCCTGCCTTGCTGCTCAGTCACTGACCCAAAATTAATTTCTGCATCTATGTAATTTAGTTTGCAAGCACTCTGGGGCAGGCACTGTTGTTCACTATGTGTTTGTACAATGGGGCCTAACATATTAGGATCCCAATGTTGATTGGTGCTATGACTGCTATTGTAATACAAATAATTAATAATAAATTCCTAAAGATCTTTTTCAGCAAAAGCACGATTTTATTACATTACCTGGAGGAAATTAAATTACATCGTTATATCCTCCAATGTCATTTTTGGCAAAAACTCAAATGTGAATATAAAAATCCTCCCACTAGTATGCCTAGGCAATACATGTCCTTTGTTGTTTGGTTGTCACCCTGTGCCCTAGTGATTCCCACAGGAACAGCATAGGGTAACCTGTGGAACTATATATTGACAGTCCATACCTTAAGAAAGGAAGAAAAGAAAAGAAATCTTGGCTTTTTAGATCTCAGCTCATTAATATACACACCTTTATACTCATCCGTAGTTCAAGGCAGTGTGAGAGTAAGAAATGGGGCTCTTAATTTTAAAAGTTGATATTTTAGTCTGTGTCTTAAAGACTATTGGTGGTTTGTGTCATCTCGGACGATTCCTTCTTGTGAGTTGAATGTGTATTATAAACTGAATGGAATGCTGAGTGAAGACTCTAGACATCTGATTGGCTAAGATGCAGAGCATTTATCTGAGTAACCATGCAGATTTTAGACCACTTAGAAGAATGGAGCTTTAAAAAGAAAGCTGGTCTAAACCTTAACTAGACCTAGCATTCCACTATAATTCTCTAGCAATGCACTGTAGATACCAGTTGAAACGTTATCATCAACTAAAAAATAATTAATGCACCTATTTTTTAAAAGCAATAACAACCTATCCCTCTGGTATTTCCAGGCGAGGTAAAGCTGTCCAGCACAGTACAGTGACGTACGTAGAGAATCAGGAGTCCAGGTTTCTGGATTCTATGCCCAGCTCTGCCATGGACCTACTCATTTGACTAGGAGCAATTCACTTAACCTTCCTGTGCCTCAGTTTAACCATCTGAAAAACAAGGATACTATTACTCACCTTCCTCGTGTGAGTGTTGGAAGGCTTAAATAATTAATGCATGTCAAGATCCTCAAACGAAAGGTGCTATAGAAGTGCAAAATATTGTTATTGATGGAATCAAATGCATCTTGGACCATTAAGCCTCCCAGCTGATAATTAAGATCCAGGAAATGTCATCTGCTGAGACAATTATAACTTAAATATGTCAAAGCAGCAAAGAGTCCTGTGACACCTTCTAGACTAACAGACGTATTGGAGCATGAGCTTTTGTGGGTGAATACCCACTTCATCGGATGTATTCACCCACGAAAGCTCATGCGCCAATACGTCTGTTAGTCTAGAAGGTGCCACAGGACTCTTTGCTGCTTTTACAGATCCAGACTAACACGGCTACCCCTCTGATACTTAAATATGTCATTCCTTTTTCAGTGCAGTAACACTGAGAGGCAGAGAATGGATCAGTGCTTTATTGAACTACTTTGCTGCATCCTAAGCCATATCTCAGATTGCCATAAAAGTCTCTCAGCCCCATCTACAGTACGAAAGCAGCCATCCTGAGGACCAAGTTATCACATGGTTCCCTCTTGTGGTATAGATAGAACTTTACTGCTACAGCTCTGAATATGGTGAGCTCCTAGCTACACTACAAGAAGAAACTATATTTTAATCATTTCAGGGTCAATTGTGTTATAATTGGGTCTCCCACGTGACTGTTTTCATAATGCAGGTGTGCTTTATGGATTGATGGATTGGGTGAAGCTCTAATCTGAACTCCTGCTTCACTCTTTTCCAGAGGGAAGGCTTTTGGTTGCTGAGAGAAACTAAATAACCTCTTTGTCCATAGAAATGATTTAACAAAAGGTGTGTCTTCCCCCAGTGCTTATTATAATGCAAGCAAAGATAAGATAATAAAAAGGGTAGTTTTGCGATGAGTATGATATTTCACTGGTGGGATGTTCGAAGTCACCTAGGAATTTAAACATTCAATTCCCATTTATTTCTAAAGTAGCCTATGTAGCATCTATCCCTATGATGCTACCTATTACATCTTTCTCCCTGAAGGATTCCGACATGCATTGCAAATTATGTACCTATTCAGTGCTCCTAGGCTGAGAGTGCACCAGCCATTCAACATACAACATTGGGCAGAGGAGGTGAAATTTTTGGCTATGGACACTGGGACAAACCCCTCTGCCTCTGAAAAATGCCAGGGGTCACAGGGCCTGTTCACCCTTTAGTAGCCTTGAGTCTACAACGCTATACTCTTGGACAGAGGCTGACTATGGTGTCATGAGAGGTTGTGGCATCTCTGAAGGGAGCACCCTTAATATAAAGTCACTTGTACTTATCAATTGAGTTCCTATAGTGTGCTCTTCCACACGGTATCTGAGCAACTAAGCTGCTCTCCATGCTACAAGATAGACCTTGTTGCAGCCAGGTCCCCAGCAGTTATTCTCATGCTGTACACAACACCGTTCAGTTCACACAGAACCCCTCTTCTCAACGTCATCCAAAACAAACAGAATTCAGAGCTGCTTTACACAGACAGAGCCAAAATCCATGGTAAAATTAATACAAAATCTTTGTATGAGAAAGTTGCTTCAGGACACATACTACATGTTATTAATCTGGTATTTGACAAAAATACTGGCGCCGCATTTCTTCGCAGTCTGATAAAATGGGAAGTGTGAGGAATTTCACAGCAAGAGCAGGTCACCCGTTGAGTAAACACTACAGAATTTGCCACCCATCAGCAATCAGTGCGGCTAATAGAGGAAGAAGTACTAAGCTCGAACTGGGCGAATGACGGGAAAGACAGAGTTTTTAGTTCCTTTTCAGGTGTCATTCAAGACAGCTGCCTTCTATTTATATCCACTATGGGCCCAGTCCTGCAGCCTGAGGTTTACGACTGAAAAGTGCTATGTGACAGCTAAATATTCTTATTTAAAAGGGGTTCTCCACATAATGCAGCAGCAGAAACAAGATTTTGCTTAAGTATTTTTAAATACCTGCAGTACATCTTGATTGCTTTTGTGTTTCCTTTTTTTGTTGAATTGATGGACAGCACTCCTTCATGCCACTGTTTTGATATCTTACAGTATGCATTTATTTTTATTTATTTGCCAGAGATTGGTGAAGGACAGGCATGTCCCAATTTGGGGATAAATTGCATTTCTAAATTACATAAAAGGAGCTCATAGGCTGATAAACACTTCAGAAATGCATGAAATAATAACCACACTGCAAATAATGGTATTGTATGATAGAGCTGCTGCTAAAATCCCCACTACATGATTCAGATCCCTGAATTCTATTACTGCATCTATTAATTAAATAAAATAATACAAGTTTATATCTTACTACAGCACGCAGCTTTGCTGTGTATGCAAAACCAAAATCAACATGTCTCAAAGCACAGTTTAGTTGTCTGTTTTTATTCATTGGGAACACAGCGCATTGCAAATTAAAAGGGGCAGAATACTGCAGAAGCACAGCTGCACAAATGACTAATCACCAGCACCTAGTGTTACATGAACTAAATCCCTTCTGTTCTCCTTTACCCGCCACACACACACAGCTGTGCACGGCTTTATTTTTACTAGAATGTGCCTGTTAGAGGGAAGCCAATGGAGTTCTCATGCACTCATCACCATACATCCATAAGCAGGACGTCAAAAGTAAATGATTATAGCAAAAGTAATTAGTTCTCAGGATTACTTTTGTAATCGACATCTGATTACTTTTCAAGCTGAAAATTAACACAATTCTTTCTTAGGAAACTTGTCGTTCCCTTCTCAAGTGTGAATACTAAGGTCATAATGGTATGTGGTGACTGACTTACTCACCCATCTGAGATAAAACTAAGTGATCTGTAATCTGATGTTGCTATGAGAAAATAATCAGGTTACTTTTTGTTCCATTTATCAGTGATATGAGCGAGATTTTTTTCAGTCTTTAACAGCCTTGGATAGCTGTGTCTGCAGGAAATTAGAACAGTACCTACATGAGTGTTCACGGCATCTCTTCTTTACCCTCATTGTAATCCTTACCACAATGCCTTTTCTTGCTCTATGAGCACAAAGGCTGCTCTGGTCCAGCAAGCTACTGACACAATCCCAAGAGGGCTTGGTGTCCTGACCCCAGCCTCCTACATGCTGGGGAAAAGAGCTCAGTGAGACAAAATGACTCCAGGAGCTCTTGCTCAGTGGTGTATCTCCACGCTGGCAATTACAGAGGGGTTTACTGTACTGCTACAATAGAGCACCAGATGTTTTTCTACCAAGCTATAGAAAGAGAGAGATTTCATACTTCACCTCCCTTCCTCAATTCCCCTGTCTGTAAAATAGGGATTGTGATATGTATAAGTGATGGTCAAAAAAAAAAAGGTAAATACATTTCATGAAAAACTTCAAAAGACTTTTTTGAAAAAATTTAAAAATATTTCAAAACACTTTTTTTTCAGTGGGAATAAAACACACTTGCTCTAACTTATTTTATTTTTTCTTCTTCTTTCTATTTGAAAAATTGAAAAGTGAGAAAAAATGTTTTTCTCCGTGTTCTTTCCCTTTTTTGTCCACCCACCTGTTTTTCCTCATTGGAAAGAAGGGGGCAGGGGAGAATAAGAAAGTGAGAGACAAAGATTTTCCCCACCAAAACTAAAACATTCAAAACTTTTCATTTGGAAATTTTTAAAAAACCCACAAAAACACATTGTCTCCCAACATTTTTTGTCAAAAAAAAAGAAGTTGACCAGCTTTGATATTTATAGTCATTTGTAAAACACTTTGAGGTCTATAAATGAAGGGTGGATATATGAATTTATAGTTACTTTATTACAATAGCTATACTAATAACAAACATCTGCTAGATACAGCAACTTGTTCTCCTTATCCACTGAGGACAGGACAAGAAATAGTGGACTTAAATTGCAGCAACGGAGCATTAGATTAGACATTAGGAAAAACGTCCTAACTGTAAGGGTAGTTAAGCACTGGAGCATCCAGGGGAGGTTGTGGAATCCCTGTCTCTGAAGGTTTTTAAGAACAGGTTTGACAAACACCTGTCAGGGATGGTCTAGATAATACTTATTTCTGCCTCAGTGCAGGGGACTGGACTAGGTGTACTCTTGGGGTCACCTTCCAG